ATTTTTTAATGAGGTCGTGTATTCGGCGCAGAGGGTCGGGGATTGCGGTAGCCGGGCATCGGGCTTTGTGCACCGATAAGCGGTGTGTGGTTCCGCGCTGAGCACTGCGGTACGCAAAGGCACCTTCTGTGCTCTGTTTGAACGTGTGTGCGTTCATGAAAGAGTTACATTAAGCTTTGCCGTTGAGTTATTCATAGCATCGCACATGGGAAGGTTATTAGGACGGGACGCTGTAACTGGCGGAGTCAAGTTTTTAATGCTTTTTTTAAATATTGTTAGCGTTACACCTGCTAATTCCGAAAGCCTTCAATGAAAACGAGATCCCAAATTGGAGTGACAGTATGAAATTTGAAATGAAAATGTTAAATATTGATTTCTATCATATGGTTCGAGAACATGACAAAGAACTACGAAGAGATTTCCTCGAGATCGTTTTCATCCATTGAAAATAATAATAATAATATTTATTTGAACTGGTAACAGTTTTAGCGTCTGAATGTAATGAATGAAATTTCAATTTTGGCTTCTGTAAGCTAACCACAGTGAACATCTATATAAATATAGGTAGGTACTGTAATTGCCTTATATACTTATCTTAGAAATTCCGAAACGATGTACAATATTTAGGGACTGTCGTCGTTCGCTATCACTTATAAATAATTGAAAGGTATTTCAATCCAATTTTTATTTTGTTTTGTCTATTATTTAACTAACGGTGCTTATACAGTGCACTGACGTAAAAGACCTATTAGAAGACCAGGTAAGCTAGTTACATATATAGTTACATATATAGTAACTATATACATATATATATGCATGTATGCACCTGCGTTTCTATGGTGGAGGCCGATGGCCACCATGCTCTGAGTCGTCGTCGTTGCACGGGGAGGTTTCTTCGACATCATGCTTTCAATGACATAGTTCGTAGAGCCCTTATTGTTGCCAACATTCCTTGCAATAGCTGATCTGGGACGCCACTTGTGTCAGTAAGTACTGTTGCTGCCAGCCACCAGAGTCGCATCGTCCGTGCCCCGACGGCCGCCGCGGAAGACGCCTGTGTGAGGAAGAGGACAAAGTACGCGCCTTTGGAGACGATTTATTATTTCGTACCCATAGCAGTTGAGACCTAGGGCACCTGGGGTACAAAAGACGCTAAGGTGTTTGTACATGAGTTAGGACACAGGCTGAACGAAGTGACTGGTGACGCCCGGTCAGGGTCGTTCCTGGTGCAGAGGTTGGCCGTGGCCATTCAGCGTGGGAACGTAGCTAGCGTTATAGGCACCTTTGCGCCGGGAGCGACCAGGAGTGGCTATTTAATAATATATATAATTTTAGTTTTATTTATTAGAAATCAATCAGTTTTTCTTATAAACAAAGCTATAAAATATTGGCAATAAATACTATTACGGTACCAACGCTATACCAACTCGTCTGACCAGCGTAGTATAGTAGGCCAAAGCGTCTTGTAAAGAGAGGCCTATGTCTAGCAATCGACTATGAAAGGCTGTTGATGATGATGACAACGATATTATAGAGCACCTTAAAGAACCCGTGGCTATATCGTGGTAAACCCGTCCATATAGGAATAACAGAGGTAAAAAATATCTATCTACATTTTTGTGACCTTCTCTCCAATAAACCAACAGGGAATTAAAACGTCACAACATGTTACAACAACACAAACTTAATAACTCATATTTGTGTTAGGGACTCAAATCCATCTACAATTTCTTAACAGTAGAAGGAAACAAAGTAAATTCATTGTAAAAATCTCAGTCTTGGCTAAAATAAATTGTTGTATTTAGGGAAAATTAATTTAAACAGGACTGCACAGGACAACAGAAATGCAAAAAGAAGGAAAACTTGAAACAAACCCTATACCAACCCGTCTGGCAGAGTGGTATACTAGCCAAAACCTCCTTTCTAAGGAGAGGCCTATGTCCAGCAGTGGATTATTATAGGCTGTTGATAATGATGATGAATTTAGAGATTTTTAGGTATAGTTTCCTAAGAAGATGCAGTAATTATACTCCAACTCATCAAATGCTCAGGGGCAGGATCTGAGATGTTATTCAGTATTAGAACTCCAATAAATTAATATAACTGGATAATTGGGTAAAAAAAACACAACTATTTTCATAAAAAAAGCGTTGTATGTGTTGCGTTCAAACCTAGCACATAGAACATCAAACAGTGAGGTTGTCAAAATCGTATTCTGGTATGAAGGATGACTGCTATGAAGGCTGAATGTTATGGGTTCGATCCCCACATAGGACGATACTTTGTGAACTCCACAAATTGTCGTTCTGAGTCTGGGTGTTCTTTGACATCATGCATGTTTGTGAAGTACCCCGCGATACAGGATGTATTTCTAGTGTGGGAGTTGTCTTGAAAGGAAAAAAGGATATTTAGAAAACAGTGATTAATATACCTTCAGTCAGTAAATCTGATCACCATTACACTGCTATGTATCCATTTGTTTTTGGTATAGGGGTGAAGCGAATGACAGTTGTACTCCCTACTATCACCGCCCATGGACACCTCCAACTCAGGAGTCACAAGTGGTTTTCTGTGAATAACTCCGTTCCAGCCCACCCATTTATGACGAAGCATGGCTCTCGGTGAATTTGTTGTCAGCGCTACGTGTAACATTGCGAAGAGGTTTAGCTGTTATTTTTTATGACCAGCCCGACTGACCTCAACCCTCAGTGTGAATATGGTTTTTTTTAATGAGACAAAGATAAAAGGTACATCATGATAAGTGTAACGATTATGACAAGCGAGGTAGGCTATACACACCGCAAGTGTGATGGCAAAACAGAACTGAGACCGCAGTAGATGGAAGAAGCAGGTGTTAACCATACTTGCGGTGGTCGAAGACACTCATGCTACATATATAAAGACATCAACTGAGCTAGTGAGCAAAATTAATAGAACACGAAATAATCTACAGCTGAATTCAATGTTGGTACTAAATACAAATATAGATACGACATTATTTATATAAGGAATGTAGAGAGGAATAAAAACATAAGTTAATTGAATAAAGGGTAAAATACCATGTTGTGAAATAAAACATATACTTATTTAATCAAAATTAAGTTGTTTTATTCTCAATTTAGTCAGCCTCTAAAGGAGAATAGAAATAAATAAATTACATAGAATGGATGCAGAGGTGGCGGCATTGAAGTACTTAAGAGTTGAACACACAGTTTCTCGCTCTTGGTTTGTGACTCCATAGCCCGAGCGTGTTCAAGCTTAGCTGCTTAGGTATAGAACAAAAACTATTTAAGTGCATTCAGGACCAAACGCAATGTAAGGTAGATTTTCTCTTATCTATCTATCTTATAAGTCTTCTATATATTTTATAAGTTCGGCGTCTCTAATTCCAAAACTAACAGAACTAACTAAACCGTGAGAACTTTTCTTTCTAAATTCGTTACTTCTGTAATTATTTTTTGAGACTACTATGATTTACTCGGATTTTTTAAGTAAACAGGATTACTCCTAGGGAAGGCTCCCCCTGCCCTATAAGCTATACTGTGCTGTGCTGGGGGACAATTAAATAATATAATATATATTATAATAATATATCTCACACGTCTCACACACGGCCGTCTGATCACAACCTAGGCAGAGCCGGTACTATGGTAACCAGACTGCTGATAAACATACATAAGTATATATTTTTTAAATAGATACATATTATAGATAAATTAAGGCCACCCAGACACAGAACAAATGACCGCGCTCATCACACAATATTTGTCCTGGGTGGGAGTCGAACCAACGACCTCCGGCTTAGCAGTCAGGGTCACTAACCACTAGACCAACAGGCCCGTCAGAACAATTAGAAATCTAATAACAATTAGCACCTTCAGATTTAATATAACGCATAGAGATCACTCTAACGACACACACCTTCAATGTCTTCCCACACCTTCAACGTTTTTAAAAAACGTACCCCGCACAATGAAACAACCCAGAAAAAAAACATCCCAATTTTAAAAAAAATTGTTCGAGATTTAATGATAAGTACTATTTTTATACTTATACTAAATACCCATGCAAAATTAAAGCTCGCTAGCACTAAGAGCCTCTAAGCGAAGCCGCGTTGCATTAACATTAATGGTGAATGTACCTATAGGTATCTCTTATCTTAAATGTGCCGATCTTAAATGTTGACAAAGACAACAATATTAAGGTTCAGTACTGTAAATGTAAATATGTTTTACAGGCTATGCGAATAGTAGATACGTTGGCGTTTAGATACCTCAAGTTATCTGACGGGAAAGGACCCAGACAGCGCAAAACTTTCTTTTATAAGTAAGTATAAATTTAGGGAACAACTAGTACAACTTTTACGTATAGTTGTAAAAATAATGTATACTATGGTTTAACAAGTAACTTTCATAAATATTATTCACTCTATATCAGAAATACCATATTTAGCAGAATGTTTCTACTAGTTTAGGCTTATTGGAATATAGTAAAATTGACAAGCGCGCCACCTATCCGCGAGTAGCTAGTTTCAAAACTCACCACTAGATGTCTAATATTTGCCCATTACGCGTTTTCTGCCAAAAGTTATATAAACTTCTTGGTATCTGTGTCACTATAAATAAGGTTTTAATTTATTAAATTATTGTTATGCCATTTAATTACAATTAGAAGGGTGTTTTAAAAAATATACACAGCCCGTTGGTGATATTTGAATGAAATGGACGATTAAATTTAGTTTCCATAAAATTTGTAGTCAACGCTGTAAAAAGTCTACATCTCAAATAGCAGAAAAGCTTCTTAATATGCCAGAAAAAGGAAACAAAAAGTTCTAAACACGAAAATCTGTCGCACTAAGCTGTCAGATACAAAATTCTTGATCACCTAACACAACTGACAGGATAGCAGTTTTTTGGTAATTAAAAAAAGGAAAATGACAAATCCAGTGTGTGGGAGTGCTTAGTAAATGTTTTAGGTAGGCCGGGGTATACTTTAGTGAAATGGTGCGGTGGAGGTGTGCCGTGGTGCTGGCCATGCTGCTGCTCATGCCGGCGAGGACCGGCTCTAAGCTCGAAGAGGACGAAGGAGAGGAGGAGTAAGTATCTATTGATCCAGTTGCACTCTTTATAGAATGAGGTTGCACAGGTAACGTTAGCTAGTTTGATTTCCATTTAGAAACAATGTTAGCGATGTTAGAAGACACCCGTCGTTTGATGCAATGCCTTCAGTCAAATCGTGGTAACAATGTGGACTCGTTCTTTGGACAACTAGAAAAAGAAAGATTGTAATATAATTCTAAATAACCTGAATTTAATTTAACTAATATAGTAGTAATATTTATTTAATTTTGATTACATTTTGATTTGATTGAATATTTAACTTTAACTTTAGAAATCGTAAGTCATAATACTAAATCTGAGATAGTTATTAATGTTTACTATACAAATTTGTTCTAAGCAGAAGAGGTGAAGAAAGCGAAGAAGATGACGATGAAGATGAGGAAGAAGAAGACGAGGAAAGTGGAGCGTCAGTTGTTAAGGACGAGAGAGTGACGGTGGTTCGGCGGCCGCCCATTGTACCAACTGCGAAGACACTTTCGGTCACAAGAACTGTGAAAAAACGACCTTTGGAATGTTATGTTTGCGCGTACAAGTCTGAGACACCTCTTAGAGCGTGTTTGGATCCTACTAAATACAGGTACAATCACCATAAATTGACAGAGTTTGAAAAGTTTAAAAAGCTTCTTTAATAAACTCAGACGTAAAAGTATCGCTTCAACGACTTAAGTAATTTTGATTATTGGACTGCGTGTGAAATTAGGAGCGGCTCTTGACTAAGTCGTTACCGAATAGGTTAACAAATTGCAAAGTTAAGCAATTCTAGCCAGGTGAGTTTATGGATGGGTGACCATTCTTAACACATTGAGACCCCTCTGTGCCCCTGTGTCCCGGTTGCCATACGAATATCTGTGTCAATTGTTACGGGTACTTGGAGCCCTAAAAAGTCCGACAATCGTCTAGAGAACTTTGATAGCGCCTAGTACTTGGGTTGTGAAAAGGTCTGATGACAGGCACTCCGCGTAAAAAATTGAAGTTCAGTCGTATCGTAGTAGAACTAAATAGACTTTAGAATTAAATTAAAGCCGACCCCAACCTAGTTTGAGAAAATGTAGTAAGAAAAAAACTGTGTTTCACACACAGTTTTTTTTCTTGTGAACGATTGTGTATATGTGTGTTGAGTTAGCTTAAGTAGTTTACTTGATGGGTAACCTGGCATTTAACATGACGTTTAGTTAGAACCAAAAATTTACCTTGTTCTGTGACGTATAGTACTTATTATATTAATTATCATTACCTACTTATATTTACGTGTTGTTTTTTTTTCAGAGTACACACAATAACTTGTCACAGCGCAGAGGACAGATGTTTTACTTCAGTAATATCGAAGGGAAATTCTTATGAGGCGGTGGTCCGTGGCTGTCGGTCCGGCTGTGTAGGATCGCCGGAGACGACCTGCTGCGAGGTGAATACTTTTCTCTTTTCACCACTTTTATCGTTACTGACTTTTCTAATTAGGTGTAATTTCATATATTTATGCATGATTGTTTTTTGTTGCTATGTCTTTACCCAATTTTAAATGACACATCATTTTGTACGAACATATAGTCAATGGAATATGCAATTTGATTAGTTTTTCTTAGTAGTCAATGTCATATTCTTTCTCTTTACAGTTGAATCGCTGCAACAATCAGGCTTTCGCGATGCCGATCATATCACCTCGGTCGCTTACCGCCGCGGACAAAGCGAATAAGACACTACCGAACACAATATTATTTTTCGTCACTATATTGTTAGTCCTCCAGACTGTAGTCAAAGTCGCTTTTGTCTAATCACGAAGCCCTGCCATAAGATACCCTACACACTTGAACGTCAACGTCACCGTTCTTGTTAAAATTTTGTCATTTTGATTATTGGGAGCCTTTACTTTCAAACATTTTCTAAGCATCATTGGAATCATAATTACAACCAAAGATATTAAAATATTTGTCTGCAACTAACCTACATTTTTCATGTGTCTAGGTCCAAAGGTAGGGGCTGATTATTAAAAAAAACTAACTACGATAAACTTAAAAGTGAGTTATTATTTCTAGTAAATTAACGAATTCGTTGATTTATAGGGATTGTAAGAGGTGACTGTGAACATTTTGTGATGAATTTTTGATTTTCTGTTATTGTAAAATTTTTGTAATTTATTTTTGAGTGTGTATAAAATTTTATCGCCTATATTGAGTTCATTATTTAATTATAATATGTTTTGTTCTAAGTATAATAATATTTATTTATTTATTTAACAACTTTATGCACATATCACAATGGTGGACTTAATGCCATAGGCATTCTCTACCAGTCTACCTTAGGGTGGTAATATCTTAACGAATACATATTTATACAGCGCTGGAATGACAAAGCCTCATTCCCATTGACTGAGTCAAACTGGTTCAATTAGCCCAGATTTCATGTATCCGATTCAAAATAGTGCGTTAAATTAAGGTTTTTGGCCAATTGATATTTTATTTTGACACGTAAAAAATTATATAAAATAAGCATAAAGTCTGATATGCATTGCCGATTAGGTTAAATTTGAAAATAAATGAAAACTTCCGATTTCAGTTTACGGAATATAACAAAAGTATAACCTATCTCTTATTCCGCTTATTAAGCATGCTTGCAGACCCACATTTTTAATGCTTATTATATTTTTAACAAATATCTTGGAACAAGTATTGATGAGTTGAGTGTCAACAGCAATGCTAAGCGACCATGAGACTCGGTTCTTATGAATGTTGGTAATTGCCTAATTTTTAAGATCATAGTTAACATTTTACCTTGACCTTTGTTTGATATACGAGAATTACTTTTGATAAAATAAAACTTTCTATACCTAAAAACAAACCAACTATAAAACGTCTAATTAGAACAGTCAATGTTAGTTCTAATAAGACATTCTGCACTTCATCACCATCATCAACTGCTTTGAATAGTCCACTGGATAACATGGCCTCTCCTGGAGGTTTACCCCTATCAAACCAAGCAGGCCCGAAGGGTTGGTGTAGCGTTTGTGTCAAGTTCTCCTTCTTTTTGCAGTGCTTTTGTCCTGCGTTGGTTGCTCCCTTAGTCGGCTCTTACGACACCCACGGGTTGAATAGGGGTAGCGAGACTCCGTATTTATAATCACCACACGGATAATTCCTTCTTCTGCACTTCAAACTCGACATTATTTACAACATGCTAAATGTGCATTGTAGTACAAGACATTAATCCTGTTAGTTACTATACTATTACTGTAGAACAGATATTAAAGTTTTCTTGATATAAAGTAGATCCTAATTTTGTAAAGATCCTTCCAGTTCTATCGAATGTGTGTAAGGCCTTCATATCCGGAAGGTTTAGGTACAGTTAAAACACACGGTAAACAGTTAAATCAAACGGAAGGAATATTTCGTTAACAAAAATCAAAGTAATTCAATGCAAACCATTACTATACCATCTAGTGATTGTGGATTGAAATCCTAAACTACCGTAATGATATTATCATTACGGTAGTTTAGGTTTAGATTTACTAGCACATCATACCAGTATCTCATTGAAAACTCTTGTTAAGCAACTCTTGTTGCTTTTCACCAACTGAGTGAGGTTGCCCGACGCCTGCCCCCTCCCCCTGTTTCTGGAAGGGGAAAGGACTCCAAGAGTGCCAAGGCACCTGTGACTCTTAGTCGTAGGTGTCCATGAGCGGTAGTCATTTACCAACAGGTTACGCGTCTGCTCTTCTTTAAAAAAAAATTTATATATTTCTTTCTGGTACAGGGGACAACCCTACACCAGAAAGAAATAAATAGATTTTTTTAAAAGCCGTATTGCAAAGGTCCTCAGCAGATAATCAAAGGCTTTTTACCTTACCTAATAATCAAAGGTACAAACAATTTAAAACAACCGGTAATGCTACAGCTAATTGCTAACCATATAATTGTATGAAGTTCTCGGCATTCCTTTAAAGGCACTTCTCAAAGGCGCTCTTGTAAAAGGTCGTATGATTGAAAGGCGCAAGGGAAGGGTCACTCGACCTCTGCGGTCAAGCCGCCTTTCCGCCCAATTGATCCGCATCCGCCCGGCCTGGGGTGCCGATGTGAAAATGGAATGAATAATTCACGACTATGTTATTGCAAATATTTATTGGTTATTTTTTTTTGATAAAATATTTACGTAACAAATTAGCTGAGTTGCAAAACTGTTACTTATTGAGAGTAACCTTGGTTTATGACATAGAGCTGATGATTAAAACCAGAAAAAGCGAAGTTTACTTGCATTCTGGATAAAAATTGATAAAAATTGTACAAGTAATACATTTTTAGGGTTCCGAAAAGAGGAACTCAAGATTGATCGTTGTTCGTCCCTCTGTCATTTAAGATTTTTTTCTAAATCATCAAAAATTCTAAATCATTATTGCTGAAGTATTAAAAACAATAATTATGTCTGCAGTCTCTTAAGGCTTTGAAATTGGGATTTAGACTTGTTTAAAGGTTCAAAAAAGTAATTCGAATATCACAATCTAGAATATATTTTACACCCTTTTGAGGCTTGGTAATGAAATTCTTCGAAGTATCAAAACCCATATTTACACTTTATATTAACTCAACCCCTGACGCACTCACCACGTGTGAAGTAACCCATAGGAAATTCCAATAAAACCGACGATTTCCCCTTGAAATACCCTCAATTTGGGGTGTCCAGTTAAGAAGCCAGTTCACTTGTTTCCGACATATGGAGCCAATCACTTGAAATGGAGAAGAATAAACCATAATATGAATGAAGTTGTTGTGTACTTTATTTAGTAAGCTATAAAGGTTAATTTAAGTAGTTTCACATTAGAAGAAAAGTTGGTAATGTTAAATTTTTGGGGTGAGAAAACTCGATATCCGGACCGGACTTTGGGTGATTTTTATTGGTTATAAACAGGGGTCTGGTATGTTAGCCGAGATTTGGGTCGTGTGAAGTTTGGTCAAACAATATGCGAGGGTGTCAACACTGTTGTTGTTTGATTTGAAAGTTAAGAAGGATGTTTCTTTAACTTCGGACAAGGAAACTTTTGTTTCACTTGTTAGCTTTGACTGGTTTTCTTTTTAGTTATAGTTGTTTTTGTTCTTCATTTTCTGTAGTAGGTAAAGATGGTAAAGATAAATCATTATGTAAATTGTTATGACCATGCGATGTCTTAAATGATTATATTTGCTGCATATAATTAGTATTGTTTCCATACATTTTTCTCTTAGGACCAGGTAAGTAGAACTAATTAGGTACTTCTTAGATATAGCTGTTGTGGAAATATATATTTAAAGGAGACTTTATATAGAAAATGAAAGGAGATAAAGTCAAGTTTGATGTTTCTGAGGAATATAAAAGTTAAGATGTTCAAGAATTCAAACATCTATTATGGTTGATTGGTTTCTTATGTTTCTAATTGCCAAAATAAAGTTTAAAAAAAAAAACCCTTTTCTTGAATTGCGTGACGTGAAATGAGACCCAGATTGAGATTTCTGCAGCCACAATATGTTTTTGTGTTAAGTGAATCTTAGTTGGGGGTAGAAGAACGCTCTTAAAATTGTTTTAGCAATATTATTTGGTGTATTTGATTATATATATCTCTCTAGATAATACGTAAGTGTTTTCCTATAGATTAGGAAGGGCAATAGCGTGAATTCTACCTTAACTTTCAAATCTATTTTTTTTTAATTGATCATACATATACCTGTTTCTAAATTCAAGTTTGATGAAATTACTCAAGTAATACTAGAATATAATGAGCACTTAATGAAGCTGCCTGTGTTGGTAGCGCTGCAAGGTTCATTAACATACGAGATAGTACTGCACCAGTACAAATGAATAGATTGCTTGCCATCTAAGACTTAAACTAATTTCTGTAGAAGGCTCTTGCAATTAGTACTTATATGGTTTTAGTTTACAGACAAGTTACAGACAACTCGCTAATGGAGGGAGTGTACAAAGTTACTAGTAAAGGTTCACCGTTGTTGCCGAAGTGGTAAGCTTCATTGTTAATATGAGATATGAAAAATGTACTCGCCACGTCTCGTGAAACTTTATTCTCTTACTTTTGTTTGAAACCGTTCATAATCGCAGAAACAGTATCTTTATGGTATATTGCTTCTCCTTGACTTCACCAAATGATATAATGATATATAGTGATGTTAATGGGAATCACCTATTCCACATGACAATCCAGGTTTTGTCAGGAGGAATCTTCACACACACACATAATTAAAAATGCGTAATATAAAGGGATTTTATTTTATGCGATTATATTTACACAATTAATTTATGTCTTCAAATTTCTTACCTACAATTTTACACTTCCTATGCTGTAAACAGATAAACAGCACGTGCTTGGCAGAAATAAAAGTTTTCAATTGTTTAGTTTCGGTAGCTCAGGAATATCACACCTGGTTACGTGGCCACGTGAGGGACATAGTAGTGTGACGTAATGATTGATCATATCATTTGCTACGCTTCATCGGTCAACACTGAGATTTGCGGAACACTGGCTTAGCGATGTTTATTGTCGATAATAATGGTATCGATAGTTTGTATTGGTGTTGTGCTTGATGCGATGAGGTTATTTTTGCACAGCAATATAAAAGTAAAGTTACCGTGTAAAGAAAGCTATTACCATGATCAATCTCTCTGTCATATAGGTACCTTAAACTAAGATTTATGTATTATTAAATCCATACGTTTCCATTTCATATATATGTCGCAAGTTGCGTTGATTGATTTCTCAAAAATATTATATCATGGAAATATTAACTATTTCTAAAAG